AAACTTAGTTATATGTATGCATCTTATGGTCCTTTCATGTCAAAGATTCCATTCCCAAGTTGCAATAAATGTATCACTCTAGAACATTTTTTCCATATTAATGGCACAATAAAATAAATTGTTCATATAATTGACATTCTTTTCTTTTTTAGTTATATAGTTTGTTTATTTTTTTGTTTGTTCTGTTTCTATATGGTTATGACTTTTCTATTAAAAATTGTTAAAAATATAGGACACTATAAAAAAATATATATAAATTATTTATAAAGTGATCATAAAAAAATATTATAATTAAATTTTATGATAAATATATATTATTCTTGAATTTTTAAATATATATTATTCTTAAATTGTAAAAGTTAGTTTGTTATGATTAAAATAAAATTTTTATAAATATAAAAAAATAAAATGGGATTTGAAGATGAATGAGGTGCAAAGTCCACATACATAAATAGACTCCCTTTGAGATCCCAAATTCGCTTTTGAGCCCAAACTAAAATCTTGAACTAAAACTCGTGTAAAGCCCAATAAGGGTGACCAACCAACCAGAAAGCACCAAGTCATCAAAGCATTTCAGCGCACGGTACGCCGAAAACACCGGAGCATAACCTCTGTCTTGTGTCCAAAATACAGAGTTTATCACAAGGGAATCATCGGAAAACTGGAAGCTCACTTGGTTATATGCAATGGCTTCCATAGTCAACACAGTCTACTCAATAAAACTGTCTTCCGACAAGAAGACATTCAACCAGCTGAAAAATCAACGGCTAGCTGCGAAGCCCAGCTCTGTATATCTCAACAGTAAGCTTTTCTTGATTTCCTTTGTTTATTCGTTTTGTTCAGAAAAAAATGTTTCATGTACTAAATTTGTTTGCCGTTTTTTTTTTTTTTTNGTTCGTTCTTTAGGGAGGAGCCTGGTGGTGAGAGCTTCTGAAACAGATACGGACCAAGGTACGGTGAACTTTTTTAAAGTTTCGATTTTTATGTTTATGAAAATATAGCTAAATTGATTTGTGTTGGAGAGTTGGACAAGATTGAAATGGGTTTTGCATTATTTGAGATTTGGACACTAAAAGTTGGTGTTTTTGAGATGGTCGCATTTGTTTGGTTATGTGTGTGTGTGTGTGGCAGTTGGAGCTAAGGCACCGGATAAGGCGGCCGCTGAGAGTGGTTCGAGTATAAATCAGATTCTTGGTATTAAAGGAGCTAAACAAGAATCTGTGAGTTTATTACATTATCAACACATGAATTTGTTTAATTCACTTGTTGTGTGTTATTTGTTCTTGGAGTAGAAAAGTTTATGTGATTTGGTGTCTCAAATGACTTGATATATTCATATTCCCTAATGTTGTGCTTATTCCGAATAAGTGGAAAATTCGAGTTCAGCTCCCGTTACTTGGAAAATTTAGAATAAGTGGAAAATTCGAGTTTATTACATTATCAACACATGAATTTGTTTAATTCATTTGTTGTTTGTTTTTTGTTGTTGGAATAGAAAAGTAGTAATTTTTGTGATTTGGTATCTCAAATGACTTGTGATATTCATATTCCCTAATGTTGTGCTTATTCAGAATAAGTGGAAAATTCGAGTTCAGCTTACAAAGCCCGTTACATGGCCGCCCCTCGTCTGGGGTGTGGTCTGTGGAGCTGCTGCATCTGGTAATTTTTCCTTTAACCTTTTTTTTTTTTTTTCTAATAAACAGAGAAATTGGTTAATTTTGATTTTCACATTTATTAACTCTCTTCATCTGTTAAATGAAGGAAACTTCCATTGGACATTTGAAGACGTAGCTAAATCAATTGTATGTATGCTTATGTCCGGCCCTTGTTTAACTGGCTACACTCAGGTGCTACTTCACATTAACTCAATATAGATTGATATATATTCTATATAAATCTTCATTTTCGTGCCATTTTCCCACTTCAGTATTTTGCTTCTGAATATTATTAACCATGTAACTTATTGAATTTTGGCCTGTTAGACTATAAATGATTGGTACGATAGAGAGATCGATGCCATTAATGAACCATATCGCCCGATTCCTTCGGGAGCTATATCCGAGCAGGAGGTATGTGAAAGTTTAACATTTTTCTTTCCTTAAATAGAAAACTCGATGTGGGATGTTTAAAGATTTGATTTTTATCAGGTGCTTACACAAATATGGGTGCTGCTTTTGGCAGGCCTTGGCTTGGCCGGTCTACTAGACGTGTGGGTAGGTTTTACTAAATAGGTGCATTTTTTCTAGTGAATGTTTTATTTATTTATTTATTTTTTGTTTAGCTCTAATAGCTCTTTTGTACATAGGCAGGGCATGATTTTCCGGTGATATTTTACCTTGCCTTGGGTGGATCTTTATTGTCCTACATATATTCGGCTCCACCTTTGAAGGTATGAAAATCATTTTTGCAACTGGCAAAAAAATATTGATTTTTTTTTCAATTTCGACAAAGACATTTATTTTTTCTATGTGTTGCAGCTCAAACAAAATGGATGGATTGGAAATTTCGCCCTTGGAGCAAGTTATATAGGTTTGCCTTGGTAATTCTTGAACTTCCAAATTCTTCGAACTAATTTATATAATACCAAATTTGCTTGGATAATCCTACATATAAAAACGATAGATAAAAATATAAACTGCTCTTGAGACTCAAATTTCGGTGAAATTTGGTTTATATTTTCTGAATAATTGCTTATTTATGAATTTAAATTCATTAATAAATTTTCTTGGACCTTATTCAAAATTATAGGTGGGCTGGTCAAGCATTGTTTGGAACTCTCACACCTGATATCATTGTTCTAACACTGCTTTACAGTATGGCTGGTGTATGTGATTCTCTTTTATCTGATTTTTATCTCTTTATTTGCTGCATGTAATTAAAATGTAATTTGCATTTCCGCGTATTATGTTTATAGCTGGGAATAGCAATTGTAAATGACTTCAAAAGTATAGAAGGGGACCGGAAAATGGGACTACAGGTAACTTGTAACATTCGTTTCGTCATCATTTTGGTGAAAGAAAAAAAAAATTGTGTGAATTTTGCTCGTTTAACTTCTTTACAGTCACTACCTGTGGCTTTTGGGGCTGAGACTGCAAAATGGATATGTGTCGGTGCTATTGACGTAACTCAGATATCTGTGGCTGGTGAGTCAATTTATATGCTCTCTATAACAATTGACTGTCTGAAACATAAAAATCTAAGGCCATGTTTGGTAACCAAATAAGTTAGTTTATAGTTTATTTGGTTAGCTTATAAGTTTTCTGTATTCAAATAAACGGTAGGATGAGCAAGCCTTTTTAAAAAGCTCGAGCTTATCTCACAAGCTTCACTTATTTGATAAGGTCGTTGAATTTTTATTTTTTTTTCAGCTTGCTTATAAGTTAATTTTATCAATATTTTTATCATATAAGCTAGCTTTTCAGGTATAAGCTCGAAATCACTTATAAGCTATAAGCCAGCTTCTTATCAGCTATCAGTATAGCTAGCTTATCAGCTAGATTTACAAAACATAGCCTAATATTATTTTTTAAGAAAGAAAAACAATTTATCAATTGATAAATCGACTTATAATAGCAAGTCGGGTCTCTAAAACGTTAATACATTATAGAAGCAATTTTATTTATTGAATGCTTATATATAGAGTGGATACGGTGACGATCACAACACATTTGTATGTTTTCTTGAAACACAAAATGCGACTATCTTCTTTGTTTTCCTTTCTCAAAATTATAATCTAAAAAGAAAAGAAAAAATAAAAATAAATCTACCATCTGCTGTAAATTTCCTCATACAGGCAAATTATGTTTTTTGCAGGCTATCTTCTAGGATTAGGTAAACCGTATTACGCTCTCGCACTGTTAGGATTAATCACGCCACAAATCTTTTTCCAGGTAAAGTAAATCCCTCTCTTGACTAAGCTGAAAATGTGTATGAAAAATAGACTTTTTTCCCCTTTTGGGGGCTTGGTTAGCAATTATGAACACTGTTAAATTTAAGGTTTATGACTTAAATGTATGCCAACTCCATTTTAATACACTCGGACTTTTTAGACAACTGCGTAAAAAACTAAAAACAATCCAATAAGTAGCTAGCCACATTTAGGTGTTACATTATTTGTTTATTACTTTATTATTGACTAAAGTCACATTTATGCCTTTTATGCAGTTCAAATACTTCCTCAAAGATCCCGTCAAATATGATGTCAAATATCAGGTACATTGTGACTATGTTTGGTAAAAGTAGCTGATAGCTGAAAAGCCAGCTTATAGTTTATTAGTGATTTTCGAGCTTATAGCTTATGACTTATAACTGAAAAGTTAGATCATATGATAAAAGTGTTTGAGCTGATAAGCTAGTTGAAATAAAAATTTCAATGAATTTATTGAAAAGCTTATAGCTTCTAGCTCATGATTAATAAAACTTTCTAGCAGATTTTCCTTTTCTTCCCCTTTCTTGTTTCATATTTGATTTTATACATAAAATCACGTGTTCTTAAACTGTATTTTTTTTTTTACCCCTAGTTAGTTCTTATTATGCCATTTCCATATTCATTTTCAGGCTAGTGCTCAACCATTTCTGATACTGGGTCTATTAGTCACTGCCTTAGCAACTAGCCATTGATGGTCATGTGAAGTCAAATTTCAGAAAAAAATCGAGGAGAAAATCTATAAGTGTCGAAAACCGGAACTGCCCGTTTTATCTGCTTGTACGTAACGTAAGAGTATAGATTTCGATGGGAATTATTCTTTGCTGATTGGTGAATTCTCTTTCTGCAGCATTATCACCTTTCAACTAACCTATGTTGTGGTTTAGGACATATTCATGTCTTTGTAATGTAACATGCTGTTTTCAATTTGTTAGTTGATATTTGATGAAAAACATATGAGCTTAATAGAGATTTTTATGATCCTTTTTAATGGAGAAATCCTGTGATGTTTTTGACGGTTAAACTATAAAATATAAATCAGCTCAATATTTGGATTTGTCTGTCTTAAGCACTTTTCTTTTAGCGGTGGAATCCTGTGCTGATTGTAATCCTATGTGTCCGTTCTGGTGCATCCACGTAGATCTGGAGTTATATCTATACCTAGCATGTATAGGTCTAGTTTTGCTTATATGGCATGTTTGGATGACATGAACAAAAATATTGAAAACTAATGAAATTAGTTCCAATGCTAAAAGACTCTACTTGAATTTAAAATAGACTAAGTGTAGACGAGGTTTCATTTTTTTGCTGCCACATCAGCAAGACTCGGTCTTATTGTATTTGCATTGAAGTAAATATTTTTCTAGACTTATTCTATTTTCTATGTGGCATGTATATTTTTTTGAAAGAACTCAAAGCATTATGGATACACTTAGGAGTTTTAAAATTATAAAACATTGAGTGTCTTAAATTATAAATAAGTTTTAAAGTTATTAACTCTTATATTTGTTATCAATTTTTTAGATATGATATATCAAATTAATTATCTCTCAATGAGATTCGAAATATTCGTTATCGGTTTTTCAGATATGATATATCAAATTAAGTATCTCTTAACGAGATTCGATTTAATATTCATACTAATATAGAAAAGATAATCTTTTTTATAAAACTTAAATTATATATTATTGGAAATTAATAAAATCATATATCAATTAAACAAACTATCTATAAAGTTATCAGATATTAATAGGAAATGAATTAGAAAAGTATTATAATATATTATGAGTAAAGTATGAGTCAAAGATGTCATTTTAAATAATAATGCAATATTTGTTAAAAGTATTTTTTGACAAATATTGTTAAAAAGTATTTTTTGAATTTTAAAATTATCTTTTTAGAAATTAAGTATATTTGTTTTTTAACTAAAATCGTGTACGTCACAGGCACTAGTAGCCACTGTAACTATGCTTATACAATTGAAAATGCTATGCTTATACAATTGAAAAATGCTACAAATAGATAATAGATGTATACAGAGATATACATAACACTCATATGAAATGAGGTCTACTTAATTTTTTATTGAAAACTGCTACATGTACATAGAGGTGTACATAACACTCACATGGAGTGTGGTCTATTTGATTTTTAATTTTTATAGGACCCACTCATTGTTAATTGTTAATGTTATGTACACTATTACTTATAACATTTCTCTTTTTTATTTTTGGTAAGACCCAATTAATTGATTTTTAATTTTTATAGGACCCACTCATTGTTAATTGTTAATGTTATGTACACTATTACTTATAACATTTCTCTTTTTTATTTTTGGTAAGACCCAATTAATGTGAGTGTTATGTAAACCTCTATGTACACATTATGTATTTGTAGCATTTTTCTATACAATTAAATGATTACTATGTTTAATTAATTAATTATCCATCATTGTTCAAGTGAATATTTGCTTAGGATCACCTAATAATCGAGTCACTCCTACTTAAGGAGTCTACACTCTCCTATAAAGCAGCGGCCCAACTGGGCCCATCATCAAATGGACCTGAAAGAAAAAAATAAAATAAAAAATAAAATAAAAATAAAATAAAAATAAAAAAATGACGCACATAGAGAAGAAAATCAAATTGAAATCATCCTCACACCTGGGGCCACCTGACAACAAAAATAGGGGATAGTTGGTTTCGTAAGAGACCGTAGCATTTTCCCCAAAAAATATTCCCATCTCAGTCTTTACTCTTTAGCCGTCACCTCCCATTCATGACGGCCACAGGCATTTTCCCCTAATTCTCACCGCCGACGACGCCGTTTGGTCTGAAAAACCCTCTCCGATGGCCGCCGACAAAACGCAGAAGGGCGCGACCTCGATCCCGCCGTACATGAAGGCGCTTTCCGGATCCCTAGGCGGCATAGTCGAGGCCAGCTGCCTTCAGCCCATCGACGTCATCAAGACGCGGCTCCAGCTCGACCGTACGGGCACGTACAGAGGTATAATCCACTGCGGCACCACAATCTACAGGAGCGAGGGCGTGCGGGCGCTGTGGAAGGGGCTAACGCCCTTCGCGACGCATCTGACGCTTAAATACGCGCTACGGATGGGTTCCAATGCGGTCCTGCAGTCCGCTTTCAAGGACTCGCAGACGGGAAATCTGAGTCAACACGGCCGGATTTTGTCTGGTTTTGGTGCGGGCGTGCTCGAAGCTCTTGTGATTGTGACCCCATTTGAGGTGACTCAGCTGGTTTTACCTTAGTTTTTTTTTTTTTTTTNAGTAATTAGTGTTGATTTATCATTTACATTGGTGTAGTCGATCAAATTTACATGGAGATTAGCTTGGTGCTACTTGATGGTAGATTGATTTGCGTTGATTCAACGATTTTAAAAAAGAAAAACGTCAGGGCCGTAGGCACGAATTTTCCCTACATTGGGGGGTGTGATGCTTAGCATAAAGATGGAATCAGTTTTGCGTGTAGAATTGAGGTTAAGCTAATTGCAGCATGTGTGTCTGAATTTCTATAGGGGCTATTTCATGAATTGATATTGATCATAGATTTTGGCAATTGTTTTGTGTGATTGATCTGTATTTATAGTGCTATTGTGAGTGAAATCACGAAGATATGTTATTATCCTGGGATCCATTTATTATGTCTGATCTAGTATGATTGTATCTTGGACAATGAAGACTGTAGGTTGTTAAATGTTTATGCAAGTCCTTATACTTGCTTTAATTAATAACTTCACCTCTTTTGAGTCTGGACTATTACTGTATGTATTATGATGGCCTTCACACATACATAACCTGTGTGCTGCTTAAGAGCAGTTAAAGATAAGTAATTCCCTTCCGATTCATTTTTTCTCTTAATTGTTTTTAGCTCTCTGCTTAGTAGCATTGGCCAGATTAGTTAAGATAAGGGCTGCAAACGAGTGGAGTCGAGTCGAGCATGGAGCTTGTCGAGTGCAGATTAAGGGCTTGATTGTTTATAAAATAATTTACTTAATTTTATTTCATACTCAAAATCTAACTCAACTTTAACTCAACCCCACTATCTTTAATCCCCCTATATATTATATTAATTGAGAACGTGTTGAGCCTATGTGGCAGGCTCGCACGCTTCGGGATCCTATGTGGCAAAATTACATGCTTCGTTATTAGGCTTGGATAGATTTAATTCAGGTTCGGATTATCTATAAATATGTTGATTATTTATGGTAGCGGTCCGGGACGGTCCTGGATTTGATTTGTCCGGGTACCCATCCCACTTTTATGAATCCGTCCATGAACGGCCCGGGATGAGGCACCGTCCCCACCCATGTAATACATGGGTATTGTACTAGTATATTTTTATAATTAAATAATACAAACCAATCATTCTTACACATCACATCAATTTTAATTCACTATTCACCCACTCACATCATTTTAACTACACTAGTTTTTGTCCCGTGCATTTGCACGGAAAACTATATAATACATGAAAAAATAATAAAAATTATAAACAATAGTAAAAAATCATAACAAAATCATTGAAAAAAATTAAGAAAAAAAATATAAATATTCTTAAACACTTCTTTATAAAACAACGTCGTGGTTTTTCTATCGTCAAAATCTCTCTCAGCTCAAATCAAAATCTTCAAACCCCACTGACTCGTAACTCTAAAAAGCGTCACGTATAATTGCTCATGACTAAATGTTGAGCTCTTCAGTAGTAAGCCGACGTGCAACAGAGACTATCTTTGACTCTTACTGATCATGTCATAGCATAGGAAACACTTCTTTATATTGTTTGTCCTTGACTCTTATTGATTGATAGAGATTGTCCTTGCTTCTTAATAAAAAAATACCATCTAAATATAAATGAGTAAATATAATATTAATTTTTTATATAAACAAAAAATTTAAAGATCTGTAATAGATCTGTAAATATATGTATTTTTTTGAGGTTTTTTTTTTAATAAAAAAAAACTCGTATCATGAGCTTTCCATTAGGGTTAGCTTCCAATGGACTGGAACCGCCCGCATCGTGATTTTAAGAGGCCGATTAAGGCCCTTTTGTTATATTTAATAACAGTCAGAATTTTTTTTATGTTTAATTTTTTTTCGTGGATTTAAGTTATTTCAACGATGTTCTTTTTATATATCTAAGATTTTTTTTCCTGATTTATATGAATATAAGCACATTTAATTAATTTTTATAAAATTTATTGAAAAAAGTTACTATTTTTTTTTTAAAACTGATAAGATATTACGATAATATTGTACTTAACATAAATGTGAGATTAATTAAAATAAATCATTTTAATTTAGTCATTAACTAATTAAATTTAACTATAAGAAACCTTCTTAAATGTGAGATTAATGAGTAATTAATTAAAAAATGTAACTCCTTTTGGAGGGAAAGTGAAAATATTTTTATTAAATGTTTTATTAAATGCTATTAGCTAGCAATTATATATATATAGATATCATTTCCAATCATTTATCTCTTACGTTTACATCAAATCAATTTTAATCATTTTATTTTAAATATTATTTTAATTCATTTTTAAAATTCCACTAACAACTAACTATACCACATTTTTTAAATTTAACTACGGTTAACCAAAATAACTCATTTTGAACAAATTATATAGACAATCAAGCCCTAAACTTTTTTCTTTCACTGCTTGAGCTTGAACTCGAGCTCGACAAACCATGCTCGACTCGACTCGTGAAAAAGATTAGGAGTGCTTGAAATAGCTCGAGTTCGACTCGAATTTTGACAACAAAGTTTTAAATATGAAGGTATTATTTTTAATCTAAATTGACAATTTTGGCCTTGGTGTTCTAATATTGATAATTAAGGTATTTATGTACGTAAATAAAAAGTGGAGCAGCTCGTCGAGCTTATGAGCCTCTTGAAATGATGCTCGAGTGGAGACTCGTTTGCTGGATCGAACTGCTCGAGCTCGACTCGTTTGCAGCCCTATACTTGGGATTTTCATATGGGCAATAGTTGCTAGCCTAAAAATCCCTAGGATATTCATAGCTTAATGAACTTGTTGTCATCAATCAACGCAGGTGGTGAAAATCAGACTTCAACAGCAAAGAGGATTAAGCCCGGAGCTCCTCAAGTACAAAGGCCCAGTACATTGCGCTCGTATGATAATCCGTGAAGAAGGCCTGCTCGGTTTGTGGGCGGGGGCTGCCCCAACCGTGATGCGAAACGGGACTAACCAAGCTGCAATGTTTACAGCCAAAAACGCGTTCGATGGTTTTCTATGGGACAAACACGAAGGGGATGGGAAAGTGCTCCAGCCCTGGCAGTCCATGATATCGGGCTTTCTTGCTGGGACTGCAGGCCCAATGTGCACAGGTCCATTTGATGTCGTGAAGACAAGGCTTATGGCCCAAAGCCGCTCGGGTGGTGAGATGAAGTACCGAGGCATGTTTCATGCTATTGGGACTATTTACGAGGAAGAAGGGATTCGGGCTCTGTGGAAAGGGCTGTTGCCTCGGCTGATGAGGATACCGCCAGGCCAGGCTATTATGTGGGCCGTGGCTGATCAAGTTATGGGCTTTTATGAGAGGAGGTACTTGAGCAATGCTGCACACTTGTAGCGTCTCGATTGTGTGGTGATATTTTTTCCAGTTTGATTTAAATTCTTTTCGGGGACATGTTACGGTTTTATTACTGGTTCTTGAGTTTGGTGTGCGGTTTGATGTTGGCATTAATGGATTAGAGTAGGCAACAAGTGTAGAAAGGTTGGCATTAGTGAAGTAGTTAATGTTGGCTATTTTGGACTCTAATTTTGGTTGTAATTTTATGCTGTTGTTCTTTGCGGTTGGACTTTTGTTTTTCCGGTTCAATAAATTCCGTCGATTTTGAGTCTTGAGAGTGTACATTAGAGAATGAGATCTTCTGCTTCACTTTGGTATTCCATTTTGTGTTTTATTTCCTTGGGTGAACCCATTTTGTGCTTTATTTCGTTGGATGAAAGAAATATGTATAAGTAACAAGAGATTTTGTCCTGTAAATTTGGTAATGCCTATGGCATGACACACAAATTTAGTTTTTTTGTCATATACATAATTAATAATTCAATTTAGGGCTTGCTTAATTGCTATTAGAATTTCCTTTTCTGGTAAATTTTGAAAAACCTACATTTCAAATTTTCAATAATATATAAAGGCGATCTCTAGGCTATCGCGACTATGAGGCGACAAAAATAAAGCACGGGAGAAAACGAACAAATTAGAACATTGGTCAAGAGTTTGGAATTTTTATGTAATTTTATTTTAGCTCAACTTGTTAAGATTTGAGTTCAACTTGAACTCGGTTTAATAAAGGATCAAACCGAGTATTAAAAATTCGAACTTAGCTCGGTTTACTTTACACTCTTCTCAATTCTCAAAAACTACTTAATTTAAAAAAAGAAAGTGTAACAATTGAAAATGAAAGAATTTCAAATTTAACAATTTTGTTTCGTCATTCGTGGTATGACTTTGTGCGAGTACATTGCATCTCAAAAAAGACCAAAACCCTACCACACACTACTGTTAAGTTTTAAGTAACGTGAAAAACACGTGATATATAAAGGTTATTTGCCCGACCTCTAACCAGGACAGTATTTACCTCAAGCTCGCACTTATCGGATAAACCCTAATTTCACACTCACTGGTTAATTCTCAGCCCGATTCGAATTTATCCATCTCTTTTCGTGTTTGTATTTATCAGGTGACCGTCTGATATTTTTTTCTATTTTTTTTTTTTTTGNGTCGGATGAGGAAAGGGAGGAGAGGGAGCTGGATCTCAGCTTTCCTGATGTTGTCACCAAATACAAATCCGCAGCTGAAATTGCTAACAGTTAAGACCAATTTTTTTTTGTTCTTCGATTTTTTTTTCCTGTACTCGTAATATGTTTCTGATAATGGTTAGAGCTGTGTATTTGTGTAATGGCGTGGGTGAAATCTTATCCGTTGGGCGACTACTGAGAGAATGAACTTTCATGTTGGGTTTGAAATTGGATATGCATTTTTTTTTTCTTCCTTTTGTTTATTACTAAATGTTCTGGACAACTTATGACTTAGTGATTTCTTAAATGCAGAGGCACTACAGTTGGTGCTGTCAGAATGCAAGCCAAAGGCTAAGATTGTTGACCTTTGTGAGAAAGGAGATGCTTTCATCCGTGAGTGAGTAATCGCATAGCCTTCGCATACTGCTGAAATACCTATCTGTAGAGAATTTATTCTCTCTCTCTTTTTTTTTTACTCCATGGTTTTCTTGATTGGTTGTGTGTATTCTGCAAATTGTGGGTCTCATTAGGCAATCGGGAAACATGTACAAGAATGTAAAGAAGAAGATTGAACGTGGTATTGCATTCCCAACTTGCATTTCTGTGAACAATACAGTCTGCCATTTTTCGCCACTGGCTAGTGACGAGTCCGTGTTGGAAGATGGAGATATTGTGAAAATGTAAGATTTTTCACGATGTGGATAGTTATGAGCAAACTTTACCTCAAGAGCTGTTATGTTATGGCTTAGTATTACTGAGTGAATTGTTTTATCTGCAGTGATTTGGGGTGTCATATAGATGGATTTATTGCTGTAGTTGGCCACACCCATGTGATTCAGCAAGGACCAGTAACTGGCAGGGCAGCTGATGTTATTGCTGCTGCTAATACAGCTGCTGAGGTTGCTTTAAGGCTTGTTAGGCCAGGGAAGAAGGTAATTTTTTTTTTCTTGGTGCTGCCTTTGAAGGTTCATGTGGTTTTTGACTTGGAATAAATGCACTTGTGCTAACGTGGTAGATGCAAACACATTTTTCCGTTGTTGAATGAGATTTTTTTTTTGTGTTGATTCTCTTGTTTTTCTTTAATATATAAAGCATTTAAGTTTCCCTGAGCTGTAGAGTGCAGTTAATGGGCCCTTGTTACCTTAATTGATGAACACTTTTCTGCAAGCTAAGGGTCTAGCTCTTGATGATGTTATCGTCATAGTTAATTATGCTGATAAGGGATTTTGACGTAGCAAAGGTGTAATGAAAGGGATAAAAAAAGACTCTCAAATATCTTTATTAATCAAATTCAACCGACTGAAACACAAGAGAATAGGAGTCTTTAAATAGAACTCCTAAAAAGCCCTAATCTTGTGTAACAAGTAAGATGAAAATTAAATATCTTTCCTACCAACTAAAAGACTAGAATAATTAAATAACTTTACTAGAATTACTAACAATAAATAAAAGGAATAAATAATTGAACTAAAGATCCAATGACCATGCTTGCGCTCATCTCCATCAGATTCTATGTCTTGCTATTTGACTATATATTGCTCTCTTGCATAATTCAGTTCTGGAAGCTGTAGTTGTTGGAAGTTCAGTCTCAGTTGCTTCAACTGTATCTTCTGAAAGATTCGACACTAAATAAATGCCTCCTTAGAAAATAGATGCCATAAATGTTGGAGTTCAGGCGGCTCGTGACATGGCATGGTCGTTATAACCGTTTCACTGCATGGGGTGGCTCTTTTATTTTTCAGTTTTCCTTTTGTGAAGAACGCGTGTAGCGTTTCTTTTAGTTGGTTTGTTACGTTTTATTTGTAAATCATAGTAAGCAAACGGCGCCGTCTCCTTTATGAAGATGACGCCATTTTAGGTTCTCTTTCATCGTGCTGCATGTGACTGTATATATACAGTCATTTTGTACGTACTCTCTGATTCGAGATTTTCCGAGCTAAGAAGAAAAATAGTTGCCCCAAAATATTGTCTCGTTTGGTAGGAATTTAACAATAAATGATAGAAACTTTGATGACCTCTTTCCCACGCTGGCTAAATAGTTTAAGTGATCAGATTTACCATCTTTTGTTGAAACCTTCCATTTTGTTATATTTATTATATTTTTGTTGCAGCTTCTAGTCTTCCCACTTATATCTGTTAGCAACAATTAATACGAGACGGTGTTACCAACAGTGGATAGCGAAAATGGCGGCAGGCTGAAATCCCGCCATGGTGCTCTTTGGCGCCGCCACAATCACCAATCACAATCCTTTACAAATTTCTAGTTGTGGCTAAGTGGAAATTCACCGCACCATACCACCATGGCAAAAATTTGATAACACTGATCCAAAAGATTGTTACCGTATTCAACTTTGATTCTCTAAGGCTATGTTTGGTAAACCTAGTTAGTTGATAAGGTAGCTTATAGCTGATAAGCTAACTTATATCTTTTAAGTGAATTTCGAGTTGATAGCTTATGACTTATGGTTGACAAGCTAGTTTATATGATAAAAGTGTTCGATAAAATTAGCTAGCTGAAATAAAAATTTCAATGAACTTATTTGAAAAGCTACCTAAGGAAGCTTTTTAAAAAAGCTCTTCCTACCAAACCAAACTTATTTGAATACGGGAAGCTTATAAGCTAATCAAATAAGCTATTAGCTAGCTTATATGCTTACCAAACACAACTTAAATGATGACGATAGTTATGAGAGATGGATCTTGCATCCGACGAAGTTCATCCTAGTCATAGTTACACTGATGGAGAATCATTTGCCTTTTACTTATGTCTATTGACTTCAAGTCCTCTTATCATAGTCTAGTTTCTGGTAGCAGTTGTAATGTTCTATGCCAGTTCACTCATGTTCTAATTTAGCAAATGTTGTGTAAAGTTCTCTGTCATTTCACTAAATCTTTTATCTTTATATTTATCTTAGTATCTTTTGCCCTCCTTCCTATGTTATATCGATTGCAATAGACTTTGTATGGTATATATGTTATTCGGGACTGGTTCAAGTGCTGTCTGTCTTGGTAGTTTCCTAAATAGCAATTATATTGTTATAGTAAACAATATTTAATGCCTAGAGAAGTTAAGTCTGTAAATTCTAACTGCAATTAAGTATGTTCTGAATTTTGTGGAGACCCACTTAATTCTGTTGAGTTTGCCTTGTATTGACAAGCTAGTTTATATGATAAAAGTGTTCGATAAAATTAGCTAGCTGAAATAAAAATTTCAATGAACTTATTTGAAAAGCTACCCAAGGAAGCTTTTTAAAAAAGCTCGTCCTATCAAACCAAACTTATTTGAATGCAGGAAGTTTATAAGGTAGACAAATAAGCTATAAGCTAGTTTGTATGCTTACCAAAAACAACCTAAATGATGACAGTAGTTATGAGAGATAGATCTGGTATCCAACGAAGTTCATCCCAGTCATAGTTACACTGATGGAGAATCATATTTCCCCTTTTATTTATGTCTATCGACTTCAAGTCCTCTTATCATAGTCTAGTTTCTGGTAGCAGTTGGAATGTTCGATACCAGTTCACTCATGTTCTAATTCAGTAAATGTTGTGTAGAGTTCTCAATCATTTTATTAAATCTTTTATCTTTATATTTATCTTAGCATCTTTTGTCCTCCTTCCCATGTTATATCGATTGCAATAGACTTTGTATGGTATATATGTTATTTGGGACTGATTCAAGTGCTGTCTGTCTTGGCAGTTTCCTAAATAGCAATTATATTGTTATAGTAACAATATTCAGTGACTAAGTAAGTTACTAGCATTGTACAGGAGTCTCTAATTTCTAACTGCAATTAAGTATGTTCAGAAGTTTGTGGGGACCCACTTAATTCTGTTGAGTTTGCCTTGTATTTGCGACACTTTATTGATTATATTGATAAGTATATTCGCAAAATAGTTCTGATATTCTGTTTCATTATTTCTCTTGATGATAGAATAAAGATGTCACCGAGGCAATTCAGAAAGTTGCCGCTGCTTATGACTGCAAGATTGTTGAAGGAGTGCTTAGTCATCAAATGAAACAGTTTGTGATTGATGGTAACAAGGTTGTCTTAAGTGTCTCGTCACCTGAGACGAGAGTTGATGAAGCTGAGTTTGAGGAAAACGAGGTGTATTCCATCGACATTGTTACAAGTACTGGTGAAGGCAAGGTAGTTAAAATTGCAGTATGTTTATCAGTTATCACATTTGATTTTATTTTTTCTGCTTGAGTTTTTATAACGGAGCTTTTTGTGGAACTTGCAGCCAAAACTGTTGGATGAGAAACAAACAACTATTTATAAAAGGGCTGTTGACAAGAGTTATCACTTAAAGATGAAAGCATCTCGATTCATATTTAGTGAGATAAGCCAGAATTTCCCAATCATGCCATTTTCAGCGAGGTTAGTAGTGTTATGCGATATAACCTATGAATTTTCATGTAGTTCGAGTGCCTGTAATATTACTGTTCATTTTCCCCATCAACCTGAAGATAAAGATTTGGTTAACCATGTTTTGCAGGGCATTGGAAGAGAAGCGTGCTCGTTTGGGCCTTGTAGAATGTGTAAATCATGATCTTCTACAACCATATCCTGTTCTTCATGAGAAGCCCGGTATGAATTACAGATTTACCCAAATATCCGTGCTTTTTTATATCTCATATATTTTGGTTGCTTGATGGCTTTTATATTACAGCCTAGAATTAAGCTGTAGTTAAATAAAAAAAATAGTTAAAATATATATACTTAAAATTAAACTATGGCTTACCTCATTATATTTTCGTTGTTGGTTTTTACTTTTTAGTATATTCGTTTTATTATTTAAATATTTATATTATGATATTTACATTAAACATTTGTGAGAAATAATTCTTAGATATTATTTTTGAAGCATTAAAATATTATGATAATTTTCTGAATCAACCATCAAGTTTTGTTATATGCAAATATATTTATAATATTTCTATAGAAAAAAAATTATACCCAAATAGCTTCGCAACACGCAACGCTATTTACGCTACACATTACCGCGACACATTATGCTATACGCGTTTTAAAACACTGATTACAGGTGACTTAGTTGCCCATATCAAGTTCACTGTTTTGCTAATGCCAAATGGGTCGGATCGAGTCACTTCTCATCCTCTACAAGAACTGCAACCCACAAAAACATTAGACGATCCGGAGGTTAAAGCGTGGTTATCATTGCCCATAAAGTCTAAGAAGAAAGGTGGAGGCAAGAAGAAGAAAGGTCAGTTGTAAATATATATATAGTCGCTCGATTTCATTTTTTGTCCATGACTCCATTCTAATCCATATTTCTCTACTATTTTGCAAAATACTTGTCCCTAATGTCATTTATGATTTTTGCAGGTAAGAAAGTGGGCAAAGCTGAAGATTCAGCTGATGCTGAGCCAGTGAACGAGTCTGTCAATGGGGAAACTGCCTAAGAATTCGAGTTTTCTTTCTTTGGTGTTGTATTATCTCTTTGAAACCCGTTTAGTCATGGAATGTGGCCCCTCTCTAAATACTAGCAAATGTGTCTTTACTTTCTACTACTTCGGGTCGGCCTTAAATTTTTTTCAATAGAAGTAGATGTCAAAGTAATTTGAAAAGAATCACTGTTTTTCTTCGCCGATGCTCACTAACTGTTTCCATGTGTGATGTGTGCTATATTATCTGCATATTAAAATGAATTTCCCGGTCAATATGGTTATAGTATCTTTTACTTTCTTGTGCTGGGACTTGGTAGGGTCAGACAAAGGTTTTCAGTTGTGTTGATTATTTTATGCACTATGTTTCATGTTCAGTATATAATAAGCTGAATTGTTTTACCTTTAAATAAGATAAGATGAGGTGGTTAAAATAAGATTGTCGAATGATGATCTAAAATCAACCTCTAATATGTGTATCTAAAGGTAAGTAGGTTAGTTCTAAGGTTTTATGGTTTACCTTCACGAATTGGTTCAATAGCTTGTAAATGATGTGATAACTGATTTAGATTAATTGATATAGATAGATGTCAGTCCAATAGTATGGAGGTTACTTTTCAGGATTTTACAATTCCCCTGATATCAATTCACAAATGGCTAATTCGAATTCTAGAAATCTAACGAGCTTGTTTCTATAGATTTCGCCTCCCACATAGAATCTCTTTTGCCCGGAATCCAAAAGGATCCCACGAAAGAGATACATTGCAAGTGGGTTGTTATCGAATAGAATTGCTCGCAAACAAAGCTCGTTCATGTTCGATAACAACTCGTTCGTTTAGTAATCGATCTGAATTTGAACATGAAATTTTTTTTGTTTAGTTATTGACCGAACATGAACAAGTTCGCGGACTAAACGAGCGTTTACAGACAAAAATGTATTTTTTTAATTTTATATATTATATATATAGTATAGACATATAGTATAGACATATAATATAATATATAAAGGGGCATAGCAATAAAAAAAAAAAAAGTCAACAAACACGATCACGAACTTGTTGAACAATTCAAACACGAACCTTTCAAACAATTCGAACAGTTCACAAAAAAGTTTAACTATATAAACAAACGAACACGAACTTGAACTTGTCGAACCAAATAACAAACGAAATTTTTTGTTCGAATATTAAACAAACGAACACATTCGAAAATTAGTTGACCTCGAGCTCAAAAACCTTAATCTCAGTTCGGTTCTGTTCGATAAAAATTGCAATAATTGCAAGTAAGTTTGAACCGAAGAAAATACATGTGACTCAGAATAGAACATTTCATCGCAACATTTAAGTAAAAAAAACACAGGTGACTCAGGATTTGAACATTTGCTGCCTCGTTTGTTCTGTATATTGCATACGAAAAGCAAAATCACAGGCAACCTCAAAATTACAAGGCTAACTTTTCTCATAAATTACAATGCAACTAAGATTCCAATACCCAAACCCTTCCTTAGGTCATGTTTTTTTCAAAGTAACACAATAACATCAATTTCCCAAAGTTTTGTTCAGAGGTAAGCCTCAAACTCACCCCTCATGCCCAATAAAACTATGACATGAAAGGTTCACACTATTTACAGTGTGGTGGTAATGGAAATGCTCGACAAAAATTACCAAAAAACCAAGGAACAGAGAGTGGCGCCTCGGATATCAAATAAGAAGTAAACCAACAAAAGAATCTCGTGTAGTGCATGTCTCACAAAACCAACGAATCTTCATTTCTCCTGTAAAAGAGTATATGACCGAAATCAGACGGATAAAAATAATATATGACAAAAATTAAAGCAGGGAACTGGAAAACGTGAAATTACCAAAACACGGAAACTCACAAAGGTTCACGGGAAATTTAAGAGGTACCCTCAGAACACAAAAAAAACGTATTTCCAATTGGAAGTTTGGCGAGCAATATGTAGCCTTATGGCATGTGTAACGCTAGTTTCAGTTGAGCAAATGCAGAAGGATGCATTTTGGACATGGCAGTGTTGAACAATTCTCCATGGAGTGCTGCACAAGTCTGCAGATTGTCCCTAAGTGAATTTTCCAATGAGATTTGGTTTATCGGGTCACAGAGCTTGATCTGCAGAATGATAACTTCATGAATAAAAATATCACTGCCGATTGTGCAAACAGCAAGTCAAAAGGTGGTGAAACTGAAGTGTACCTGTCTCTTCCTGAACTCTTTGCCCGGTACCGGCTGGCTAGAGTGCATACTGTCGCTACTGTTTCGGAACAAGTACAAGTTAATGTAAGATAGTGGAAACTAATTGAGTGTCCTTATTTCGGAAAATGGAGACTTGGGTTTTACGTGGTTACAGAAAAATTGCATTTCGAGATTTCAAATACTCTTTATTAAAATGATATGAGCAATAAATACCTTGAGCTTTGTACGTAATAAGATACTCTGCTCTTGAGAGTGCAATTTGTAAGAGATTGGTATTTGAAATTTTGAAAACATGTATATTATTAAACCTTAGGGTTGGCTCTGGTAGCTGCAAGCGCTCAACATAGTTATTCGTAAAATCAAGCACGTCTTAACATCAAGGCATAATTTCAGTTCAAACCTTGATTCTTCTTCAGTCAGATCCTCACTTGCACCCAATATTACACTTGTGCATACACTGTCAGATTCGGGAAAAACAGCACATCAAAATTATGTGTAAAATCGACTGAACGAGATGAGAGAAATAAAGATTACACTGATGAAAATACCTTAGAATCTGATCAAGTTTATCAAGTACTTGATGCATCCTCAATGTTAAAATTATGGAGAGGGCCAAAGCAAATATCTTTCTTTGTGTGGACATGACATTGTCGACCTGCAATCACATGATATGTATAAAATAATGGAAATAACAGTGTATGAACATGGCCAATGCATAAGGCAGAAACTGATAGCGGTCTGAAAAAGTGAAAGATAAACAAGTATAGAAAATGATCGAGGAACTTGAAGTGATCATTTTTCTTCTAACATAAGTAATTTAGGGTGAGATTGGATATAAACTCAACCAAAAAAAAAAAAACCAATCAAAACTCAAATTTAACTCAACTTTAAACCAACCCCACTATCTTCAGTAGTATCAATATAATTAAATAATATCAACCAATCATTCTTCCACATCACATCAACTTTAATTCACTATTCACCCACTCACATAATTTTAACTAACCATCACTTCCAATCATTTTTCTCCTACTATTACATCTAATCAATTCTAATTATTTATTTAAATTTAAGTTCCCACTAACCACTAACAATACCACCGTTTTTAAAATTAACCATGGTTAACAAAAAAACCAATCAAAAACCAATGAAATCCATATCCAATCACACCCTTAAACATACAGAGCTCACCTTGTCAAGCCATACATCAACCAGGCATAGAAGAATGTTTTCCTCATTTGAGAATCCAGCTGTCTGGAGATATGCTAATAGTGATGGTTCAGTTGTCAGTTGTGCAAGATAATTGGTATTCATGACCAAAATTCTCGCAAGAATGGCTGCAGTAGATGTTTTTACAGCAGTCTTACAAGGATCGCGATCATCTCCGCCGCTCAGGCATATGACAATTAATTTCTAGCAAAACATGGAAAATTCAATTATCATAAATTCATCCTAGAAATTGTGTTAGAAGCAGTTCACATGATTAATAGTCTTGGAATAGCCAGATATGCATGAAGGTAGCAAAGCAAACCAAATAACCTGTATAATGCTGCTGATTAATTGGGGAACTTCAGCGGGGAAACACTGCGAGGCCAAAGTAGATAAAAGCTAAGAGAAGTACAAATATAACTTCAAATTTAGAATACGCGGACAAAACCACAAGTGAAATTCAACTTCTAAAAGAAAACGTCATATTGTCCACTGGCCACAGTCAAAAGAAATAATTCAATTTTCTTAACAAATGCATGGTCCACAAATGTCCTCTTATTAATAAATCAAAGATTATATTCTATCGATCTTCCAATTGAAGCTTTTACTTCAAAACTGAGTCTGGAATCAACTACCTGAATTAAAACATCGACAAGAGGAAGAATCGAAAGCAGCCCTCTGTCGTTGACATTACCAACAACCAAATCAAGAACTTTGGCAAGTGTTGTTGCATGCATATTGAGGAACTCAACACCGCCAAGAACTATATAGCCTTCAATAATGTTGGAAGCCACCTTTAAGTGACTAAAACTTCTTTCCAAGATTTCCACTAGACACGGGAAATAACCCAACAGCGGAGGAGAAATTGAGGTGGCGTGAGAAAGAGTAACTTCCCATAGCTGCATGAGATCACACACACACACACACACACACACCAAAAAAAAAAAAACTTTTAAGATATTAAGATAATAATGGACAATCAATGATGCTTACAGACAACTACAAAACCTGCATGCTGTCTTCCAGAAGCTCATCAGGGCTATTTGCATTTAGCACACTTCGTAAGATGGGCATCAAGAGGTTGTAACAGATGGGTGACTGATAACCAAGTGCTGCGACAAAGTTTTTTAGGGCTGTGAGAAGCTGAATCTGCAGAAGGCTTTCACCTGAAGATTCTTCCCACGCCTGTGAACATGTAGAAATATGAAAAGGGTCGCAAAGTAGAAAGAAATAGCGGAACATATAAAAAAATGTCAACCAGCAATTCTATTTTGTCGTGCCACTTTCATCTTTTATTATAAAAAAAAGGCAAGAGAAATCCAAACCCAAAAAAAGACTGAATACTTAATTCGACATGATAATAGTCTCCTAATTTTTGGATCAACAAAAAAATTAGCACCATTTTTCTTTCAGTGGATAGAACAGATAGTACCCCACAGAAGATCAAGCATTTAGAAACCTAAGAAAGTCTAAATGTAGTACCTTCTGGAAGAATTGCACCAACTTGTTTGCATAAGGAATAACTTCATTGATGCGTGCTATGAGACCCGATATTGTATTTAGCACTTGAACCTGAAGATAGGATATAAATAAAATATCCAATACACATTATTTAAAATAATGTACGAAAAATATTTTATAGGATTATACTAAACTATCATCACCACCTTTAGTTTATAAAAAACATATATGATGCCAAATGCCTAATACACCATTACACCCCTATGTTAAACTAGGTAGAGTAACGGAGTTAGAAACATTGTACTTTCAGACATATGAAGCAGAATGAATGAAATTCTGACAGCACAGTCTGTGCTGTCTATCCCATTTTTTTTTCATACCTATCAATTNTGGGAGAGAGAGAGAGAGAGAAAGAGAGTTGTTTACATTGTTGCCAACAAATATGACATCAGGATGACAATAGAGGACTTACATTTATCAGTTGTGTAAAGTGTTAACAAGGGAAACTAACTTACTTTCGAATCAAACTCTTGAACTTCTTCCACCAATTTAAAACATAGATCCCAGCACAGTGGAAGAAGATCTGAGAAATCCTTTTCTGAGAAATTTGCATCTTCGATATGGAAATAAAGAGACCTTGATGCTGCCAACTGATGGAGAAATAAATTTAACAAGAAAATGATAAACAACTGAAACCATGCAAATCTAGGTCAGAAATAGAATGAATCATACCTTAACACACAAGTCTTTCTCCTGAAGTAATTTTATCAAAGCACAATACACTGGTCGTCTAGTGTCATCTTTAATCTGTACATGGAGCAAAAATTAAGGACCAGTTTTCATTTTTTCTAAAAGTAGTATAAAGAAGAGTCATAAAGTGATCATATCATCCAAATATTGACCCAGTTAGAATATACAGATTTCCTACTTAACCCATCCCATATTACATGCAAACCGAGAACATAAAAAATTGATGCTAAAATTCGCATTGGCTGTTGAGTGCATTTAGTTTTGGAAGTGAGACAGATGGTTGATAGAAAATTTTCAACGATGATCTTACTATTGCATTCACTACTTTTTGAACATCTATAACTACACCTACATTTATTGCAAATGGAGAGTTCACTAAAAGTAAGCGCTACAATCACCATTCCCAATGTTGACAATACAATTAAGACTGTTTATACTCTATAGTTCACTTGCAATAGATTTTTAAATGGTTTTCACTGTGCTAAGTAGAAGTGAATCACTAGAAAAACACAAGCACAAGACTTTTCAAATCTACAAGTATTTGTTTACTGATACCAGTCTCATTTACATGAACCTTTAAATTTAACATGCGAAAAATTCAAAGCAGAGAAGGCCAAGAAGAAATAAATAAATAACTAGTTAGCTTGTTACATAATAAAAAACGCAACGAGCATACCTCTGAAACCCATTGCCCCAATATCAACGCAACTTTCCTGTGGATGAGGAACATGTTTGGATGATCATTGGAGAGCTCAACAGATAATGCGCCATTGAACCTACATGAGTGCCCAAAATGCTCATACATTCATCCAAACTAATATGTCACAAAGTGAGTAAGAAGTATTTGGATCTGAACACCCGCAATGAAGACATGGCAAACGGGAGTATTATCATACAACAGAACAAATTGAAAAAGCCGCATTTAAAAACAGACCATGGATAAGACTATCAAGAACAAGAAGAATTAACAAAGAACTTTGTAAAGAATGTCAGCAAAGTGGTTACTGGTCAGGAGACATACATCCTTCAGACTAACGATTCATAATTGCAACACCTGAATGACATTTTTTATAAGCTGGAGTAGCATCCTGTTAAGCTTCTGGAAACTAATTGATGACAGTTTATTTCCCCCAGCACTTCATAGCTCAGTATGACCACAGAAGTTGCATGGCACTAAATGCATCTTTTCAACATGATTCTTTTCCTAGAAGCTTTTCTTTTTAGTTTATGAGTGTGCCTAAAAGTCCCACCGGTCCCCTCCACAATCTTATTTTTCTTAATAGAAATTTAAAAAGCTCATATCATGTTGGAGCGACGTTATATTATGACATATCCGCAGCCAGGTGCATGAAGTCATAGTCATAAACACCAAGATTTCTACAGCCAAAAGAGTCAGCAGGGCAAAGAGTAGAAATACTCAGAGGCCAAACAGAATATCGGTTTAACAAGAAGAGGACTCACCAGTCTTTAAAGCTCAGATAATTTGAGAGTTCATAAGTGACGTATGCAGCGGCACTATAAGCAGCATCTTTGAAAAGCAATTCTGGGCTGATTTCACTAACAGAAGGACAGCTATTCATTGCTTCTTGAAGAATTGAAACGACAACTGGACCTAGAAGCTACGTCAACGACAACCATCATAAAACACCAATTCCACAAAAGTACATAAGCCCCATAAGGATCTGTGGAAATTTGCAATGAACATTAAGGAGACCTTACTTGGCTGTGATTCTCAAACAAGACGATGTATAATGCTTCAGCACATGGCCTCAATCTTTCCGACCACAAAACAGAATCCTGCTCATGATGAAAAGACTCGGGATTCTGGTACCATTCTTCCACATCTTTTGCAGTTAGGACAAAGTACCTGATTGAAGATGAAAACAGCGATAAGAAATACAGTGGCAAAAGAAGAACCAAACAAATAAATAAAACCAACACTGATACACGCCGAAGAACTCATTCAAAGCACAGAAAAACTAACAATGTTGTTAATCCCACGTCTAAGAGGTCATACAATTCAAGCGATCCAATTTCTGTAATATTGTGTGAGATGTGAAAACTAGACCCTAACATCCCCGAAACTTAAAGAAGAATCCAACCATCAAAATCTAACTGCTCTATATAAAAAAAAGCATCAAATAAATTATTCCAGTTAGACAAGATAATTGTATAATCTTACTATTAAAACACACTGCAAGAATATAGAAAGTTTAAGTACAACACAGAGGCACTCTAGGAAAATGTCACCCATCAAAAAAGGAACATAAAAATAAGAGAAATTATCAAAAATAATATACAAAAGAATGAGGTTCACATTCTTCGATGACCTACTTACACTTCATGATACATTTACATTACAAATTTGTCATCATAAATACACATCGTAAGACTAGAAAATGGGAGCAGGTATCTATACCTGCAATGCCCATGGTTAAACTCAACCCATCAATCACCTGGTAGTGAAGTGGTATTGAACCAATATAACTTCACAGTTTCATAAAACATGATAACAGGAGTAACTAAAAAATATTATCAACCGACAAAAATCATTGTACAACTAACCATAAATACAGTTTACATGACTAATAATTGAGAGAAACCTAAATGCTGAAGAAGGCAGTACGCAGTAGCCTTTTCTTTTTCCTGATAAGTGTTAAACTGATCTACATCGAATAAATATGCAAAGGTCCAAATTACTAACCTTTTTATTAATATATTACACAGTAGAACCACACGATCACTGGGCAGCAGAGAAGATAAGACACCAGCAACTGCATTAGTTACATTTTTCTTCATCTCCTGAAGTGTAACTTGGTTTTCGCCCATAACACGACCAGTAGAAGATGGCTTGTATTCTTTACATTCTAGGACAGACTTCAACATTGACATACACTGGATCAAGAATTCCTCGAAGGATAATATATCTGGCTCAGGATTTGTTATCTTATTTAAGCAAAAGTCAACGACATTCCAAAGGACGCTCTGGTCACCAAATGAATAAGGATGCCTGTTCTGAGTTGCTATTAAAATCTTCAATAATTTAGTGCATGCTTTCTTCAGGAGTTCCCAGAATTTAGGGTGTGTCTCTCGAAACGATGAATCTGCATAAATTGTGAATCAGAATCCAGCATCCAAAGAGATAATATGCACTCTCTCTTGATTAAGTCAACCTAGAAATGAGAGGCTAAACGGAATTCCAGATAACCGGACTTGGGAAGGAGAAGATGGCTTTATAGAACAACAAAAATTTGATGGCACCCTCAAATTAAAGTAGGGAATAAGAAGAGAAAACTCACAGTAAGGAAGAAATGACTGGACGGCATTCAACATAACAGGACAAACCTTCTTGACAGGTTCGACTTCCTGCAAGGTAATATAACTCCAATGTCACATAATGTTTGATCATCAGACACGAATATTGTAGGGCAAAGAGAGAGGGAGTTTGGGAGGATGATCGACAAAGGGATTGCAATTGCAGCACAAGATTCATAATAATAACGAATGTGATCTTTACCTGCATGGACTTTGAATCACTAGGGAAACCAGAAATGATCAGTTGACGTACTATCTTTGAACATAGTAACCATCTTTCACAGGTCAGGAAAATATCATCATGATTCAATTCTGAAGCATTTTGAGCAAATGCTGAAAAATAGTGCAATATATTCTGCACATCACTCTGCCAAAGGTGCCAGCTGTAATCAAAGAATTGAGATGCTATCTGCCAAATGAGCAACAATGAACGTATCCCGTGAACAAGCGAATTAATTGTGTAATTGAGATGGGAATTAGCATCACAATACAAATAATGTAAAGACCCCATGATGACCAGAATATAAATTGCTCAAATTCTCGAGAAAATGAAACCTCGTTGTAAGAAAGAAAGTGGATATAATTTGATTCAGCTAAAGGCCTACAAGGACATTTATTCCAAAGATTCTAGTCATAGAGTAGGAGATATGACTTCAAGCAACATGAACCCTAGAGAACCAAAATCAATCGTATCACAAAAGTTATGACCCCTAACTCAAGACCCTATTCCACAAAACCCATAAGTTTGAAGAGATAAATAAATAAAGTGAAATCCAGAAAAACAGAGATTAAACATATAAATATAACTTCATCAACAGTCTTGATCACTACAAATCCCTTTGATCACACTACTCCGTGGTTTCCACATGATACCTGAAGATCCAAGTACCGAATTTCTCATACATCTGATAATAGCTTCAACAACAGTGGCAAACATACAAAATAATTTCTGAAAACAAATACATTAATTGTAACATGCTCACCTCAGTATAGGTTCTCTGGTCAGGGGCAAGACGTTTGGTTGACAACTCCTTTAGAATCCGGAAAAGAATCAAATATATTCTATGAGAGGTCAATATATCGGCTGACTGAAGTTGTTGTGCTAACACAGAAAGCAAGTCTGGCCTGTGTATAAAAATAGGATTTCAGGAGGGCTAATATATCAGCGTAAAACAAACAAGCATAAATTAGAGAAGCGCATTACGACAGCATTTAACATTTGGTACATCACTCAAATGAGGCTGGTGCTTGCACCACCAAAATAATACTACATGCCCATGAGTGAAATATATTAAACGATTAATACCACTATTAAAATGTGTGAAATGTCTGCAGTAACAGAAATCCAGTGAGAATTCAAATATACCAACTACTTGTAGGAATGCTAAGATATCACAAGCCTTAATATAAAGATGGCTCAGTCAACTGATTGAGTTTTACAATTAACCAGCACAACCAAGCATAAGAAATCAACATTAGAGTGAGTATAGGATTATGCTAAGGATGTAACTACTGGGGATTTTTCTCCGTGATTGAAGAGAGCTTGTTAAACAAGAAAATGCACACGGAAGTCTTTCACTATTTTCATGTCACTAGTACTTCGATGAGACACAGAAGCATACCATTCCTTCGGGTAGTCAAATCGAGCAATCTTTGAGATCAGAACAGCCAATGTAAGTGATATCTGTGCCGTAACCACATTAAAACATATCATTAAGAACTAGGTGGTGGTTGTTGGACAAGAATAAATGAGAAGATGATGGTGTCAATTAGAAAATCCCAAAACAAAATAAAAGAACACCAGTCCTTATCATTGAGTAAATAGACCAACCCAAATTCTGGTAGTTCAACATAGTTGGCTAATTTCACCGACATGTATAGAAGTAAAATAAACGGTACCTGATAATTTTCTTCTCTTAAATGTGACAACAACTTTTGCCTCAAATGCACTTTCTCTTCATTACTTGTTCCCCTACAAAGTCACTTCATAGTCAGATCAAATTATCAGGCAACATATATTGAATCTAGAGAAACAAGTCATAGAACTAATATACAAACATCGGGTAATCACACTATAGTGGCGAAACTGCTCTCAGTATCTCCCAAACACCAAATGAGAATGGAAAAATGCAGACAACCTTACATGCCCCTACGACATGCAAGCAAACACTTGGAGAAATTAAGCACCCTTTTGTCAGTGAAAAGTTCAGAAGTTAGTATATCACCTGATCTAATAAGCACATACGCATTCCAAAACATTCATATCAGCATCACTTTTCAGCAATATTTCATTTGTCCAACACGAAATAATATTATTATTACCCATAGCATTTTCCCACACACATTAGATGCTATTGTTAATTCACAGTCGATGGAAGACCACCAGTAAATACTAAAGCTAATACACATCACTAGTGGACGGCACAGAAAAATTGAACATGAGCATTCCCTGTCCTAAAGTACAAAAATAAACTAAACGAGCACAAAACAGTGAAATTACTAACATTGAATCACGCCTGTGCCTCCAGTACCGATTGATGCTGTTCTTCAGATAAACCGATGCCATTAATCTCACATCAGTCTGCCCCGCCAAATCTTTGGCCGTTATCACTTCCTGCACCATACCCAGAAAGAGAGTTAAAGAACATCAAGAGGTTCAAGCTGCCACAAGCAAAGGTCACAAGCAACTGCACAGGAATTAATAGCCTAAAGCTGCCACAAGCACAAGTCACAATTAACTGAACAGGAATTCAAGAGCTTGAAGCTGCCACAAGTACAAGCATAAGTCACAAGCAACTGAACAAGACAAGAACCTCAAACTGACACAAGCAGAAGTCCCAAACAACTGAATAGAAAAACCAATCTCAAACGCTTTCATACCATGAGGCAAGAGCAAAAGCCCGGCCTGCTCTCAAACTGCGCGAGTGAATCCTCCGCCGGCTTGCGGACATTTATGTCGACGCTCAACGAATTAGCGAGCAGTGAGTATATCGCGGGCAAGTCCGAAACAGAAAGCGCCATAAGTATTCTTCGACAAACCTAATGATTCTCAGGAAAAAACGCACCAGCGGGAATGGCAAAAACCTTACTGTCCGTCTATGGCGAAAGAGTTGAATGAACAATCATTTTTCAGATCGATGAGTCGACGATGAAGAAATGTGATAGCATTGTCGATTTGAGGGCGTGCTTTGTAGTGTTTCTCATGCGACGGCGGTGATTGGGGTGTCTCAGGCGAAGGGTTTGGCGGTGGTGGGGCGGAGGAAGGGCAAACACTGTCTCATCCCGGCTGAGCTGGAAAGGGTCGCGTTGTTGTCACTGCGATTAGTCTTCCCTTTGTGTGGGTGCTTATATACCGTGTGCCGTTTTGATTTTGCTTCGAATTTATTATTATTATTATTATTATTATTATTATTATTATTATTATTATTATTATTATTATTATTATTACTAGTATGTGGCCCGTGCGATGCACGGATATATTATATTAAATAATAATTATAAATTGACGATATAGGTAAATAATATGTATTCGTTTAGGATTTTGAGTACCACTTTGAGATTTTTTAAGATTTGAGTTTAAGATGGTCAAATTCTAGAGGAATACTATGAAATCTTAAGTGTGAATGTGAGATTTAGAGTGAAATTTTGTATAATATTTTTTTCTTTTAAATCATAATTAATCTTAAAAAAGACCTAACAAATCTTGATCTCAAATAAGTTAAATATTTAAGGATATTTTAAGATTTTTTTAATTTTTAAATATCAAAGATGAACCGTTTTTGTTACCAAAAAATGTGGACACAATTTAGAATGTACATCCCATCCAAATGTCAGCTTTATTCTAAAATAAAAATTACACGTGGTTTTATCTAATTTACACACTTTAAAAAAAAAATATTCAATAAGATTGGAAGAATTAGTTAAGAATTATACAACTATTTGTTTTCAAAATTTGTATCTAATTTGTACGGTTTTTAAGTTAATTTGTATTTAGAATTATTTTCATAAATAATTGACACATTTTTTGCATAAGAATCTCCAAATTTGTTATCAAAAAATATATGATTTAAATTTTGGTAAAAAAAATAAAATATGATATGAAAAAAATAGGATTCAAATTTTACCATAAGAATTTTCAAATTAATTACCAAAAAAATAGGATTAAGATTTTGTTACTAAAGATTCACATGTATTTTTTTGAACTTTCCATTAATAGTAAGTCAAACATTATATTTATTTGGTCAAACTTTTTATTAATGTATTTTTTCAACAAACTCTTTATATATATATAGATATAGATATAGATTATTATTCACAGTCAAATATTATTGTGTTTTTTTCTAGAAAAAAAATATTATCAATATTTTTCCTTGAATATTGTTCTTGTTGGTAATACCATGTATTTTTTTATTTGAGCAAATAGATGACTAAAAATTATTATTTTTAATTGAGTTGAACATTCTAATTTATAAGTGGTGCGGATATTATTAAAAATACTTTTGTTTCATAGTAAGTGTCCAATTAGTTTGTTTCATGAGAAAGAAAAATGAAGGTGCAATTTACATTTGATGAGTCTATATGATATTATAGATATGTATTTTTGTCATGCATATTGAAACTTTTAAAATTACGCCACATTTGAGTGACTTAAATTATAAATATATTTTAAAATTTAATTTCATTCGTATTTGTTAATAAGATTTTATATTGTTGACATCAGAGTTGTGCTTGAATGGGTTCGCATTAATTAACATGGTTTAATAAATAAATTGCGAAGTAAACTACTCGAGTCAGAAGATTGTAAGCAATAGAGGAACTCTGGGAATAAAAACAGACGGATGTTGAGCAAACAATAAGTAGGACTGTTGTAGCAAATTATATTTTTACCGAGTACGGGATGACTCCCGACCTCGGGTCGATCTCTCGAGAAAGGCGGTTCAGAATTAAACTTTTGTATCGATAACACACAAAAAGAAAATAAATCCTAAACACTCTAATCAGATAGCATGATTGGATAAATTATTAACTAAGAAATAAAATAAAACGATAATCTCCTAAGAATATAAACGAATAAAGATGAAGAAGCTAGGGAGTCAGGGACAATTAATTCAAGTTCTATTTGCACACCGGGACATTAATCATTCTATTCTAAATTGACACTCTCGCTTAAACATATAGCGGTTCGCTCCCAATAACTCTTCGTAACAAGGGATTAAACATAGATGAACAAGCTCGAGCATACAATACAGGTCAGTTATCCAATCCCAATAACTTCTTATAACAAGGGACGAGTCATTGACAAGCACGTATTTCAATCCAAAACCTATAGACTATTCAATTACGAAATCATCTACCTCATGCGAGCCTAGGTCTACGACTTCTCCCCTTTCGGTTCTAAAAGTCACTAATTAACTAGAAGGTGATTAATCAACTAATCATATAGAATCGACAAACCCTAACTCGACAAATTAACATTCAATCGTTTCCAATCGCAAGATCAAAGTGTCACTCTTCGATTATAACAATCAATCAAGCACAAATTCATCAATTCTGAATTAATTCAACTCACATAAGCATAAACAATCTTGAGCCCGACAAATGCACGTTAAACAAGAACAATCATCCCCTATCCCTAGCAATCAGATTTAGCTACGCAAATCAAATTCAACAAACATAATCATTCTACTCAAGTCAACCATTATTCATGAATTAAACAAGAGAAAGAAATACTTACAATAAATCGAAGTTCAAATGTTGAATTCGAATTACAAGCTTAATCTCTAACTAAGAAGAAGAAGAAGAAAAATGAAAAATAAGGGTGAAGAAAGGAAGAAAAACGAAGAAGAAGAAGAAGAAGAAGAAGAAGAGAAGAAAGAAGTTCTGTGGTGTTTTTACGGGCCTAGGGTTCGTCCCCAGAAGGGGGAGAATGAATAAAATGAGTTCCCGTGCACATATTTATAGGAAAAGTCGGCCACGGCGTGAGGAAGACGCGACACGGCGCGGTGGAAGGGTGCTACGCGGCGCGGCAGGGCTTCGCGGTGCGGTGGGCGGGTGCATCCTTGTCGGTGTCTCGGGCTCGTTTACGTTCGTTTCAACTCAGAATTGAGCTTTGTTTTTTTCTATGCGTTGCCAATGAAGCCCTCTACGCAATGGTGCTTTCAAATCCAATTTATTCTTGAAAACCTATTCTCCCAAAGTTTTTTACTTGAAGTTGGCGGCTTCCGTGCACGACTTCATATATCGGGTCCGTCCGGACTCGTACGAACTCGAAATCGAATTCTGCCTTTTCCTATATATCGCCAACGAACTCATCTATCCAACCATGATTTCTCGGCCTATTTTTGAGCTAAATTGATTCCTCACGGGGCTTGCGACCTGTACACTAAAAACAAGAAGAAAAACGGAGAAAACCGAGAAACGACCGAAAAATACAGAAAGACTCCAAATAGAGGAAAACACGCAATAAATGACAAAACGACTCTAAAACCACATAAATGAATCAAAATGGGGGAAAAAGAACGAGAAAATAGACACGAAAAACGTAACAAAAATAAATAAATCGCGAAATAAACTACTCAAGTCAGAAGATTGTAAGCAATAGAGGAACTCTGGGAATAGAAACAGACGGATGTCGAGCAAACAATAAATAGGACACCCAGGTCGGATAGCATAAGCGCAAACCCCACCAGATGATCACTAGTTAGGAGAGCCAAGCTCAAGACTTGTCCAATTTAAGGGATAAATTAATGTGCAAATACCTGAGTCGACCACACTAAGCGAGCATAAAGTATTAAAATAATACCAACTTGGAGTCGTATCACTAAAAAGGGGACACGTATGACAAGAATTTTGTATGCCTACGTGCAAAAGCTTCGTAGGGTCATGAACATTTAATGTTTGTCATTGTTATTTAGTGCTCAAATTGTACTGCTTGAGAAATAGTAACCAGCCATATTTACTATAAATAGTCCTATGAATCCACTGTGAAAAAGGGTTCAGAAAGATCTTCTGTAAAAAGAACACATCCCCTCATTTAATATCATTAAAAACGGATATCCAACTTAAATCATGAAATTATTTGACCTTGTTTATATTCATTAGTACGGAAATTCGTCATAATACACCAACTTTTAATAACTTAATTATCATGTTAGCAGCACTAAATCGGTGCTTTGGGTTTATCAAATCGAGTGGTCAACATATATATAATATATTAAAAAAAAAATTGTTGTATACATAAATTAATATGTATATTTTCCTTTACTGTAATAAAAATAAATTATATGTCGGTAATAATTTAAAGATAATAGTCCTAATTATCAATTAATTAATGTTTTCTAGTAAATTCATTGTATAATAAGAGTTATACAAATATTATAATATCAAAAAGTAAATTGACTAATGTTATTTTAAATATAAATAACACTGACTGAACTCGAATGACCTAGATTTGCTCTTGAGCGGTTTAATAGACTTGCAAAATAGCGTCGGGATATATCCCGGCATAGAGACTTCAACGATCAAATCAGTATACAGCTGAGGAAGATGATGAACAATGATAATACCTTTGTTGAATTTCTGCAAAAGACAGTTTGATCAACTCCACCTCATCTATAACCCTTCTTGATAAAAAATTGTGTCAATTGTTCATACCATGCCTTAGGATCTTGTTTGAGCCCATACAAAACTTTCTTCAGCCTATAGACATGATCACGAAAGTATGTATCAACAAATCCTTCAGGTTGTTTAACATAAACAACTTCTTTTAGAAAACCATTCAAAAAGACATATTTATACCCATTTGATAAACAATGAACCGCATCAAACAAACAATGGTTAAGAACATCCTAACTGACTCTAACCTAGCAACAGAGGCAAAGGTTTCATCATAATCATCATTCTTTTCATGAGTGTACCTCTGTGCCACTAAACGTGCCTTAGTCCTACTGATTTCTCTAGACTCATCAGTTTTATTTTTGAAAATCCACTTAGTGCCTATCACATTGCAATCAGAGGGCATAGGAACAAGCTCACACACATCATTCCTAACAAATTCTTCTAACTCATCATGCATAGCTATAATACAAAAATCATCAGTCAAAGCCTCTTTTGCATTTTTAGGTTCAAACTTTTACACATAACATGCATACTGACAAAGACCAACCATTTTTAAAAAACCAGGTTTGACAACTCTTGTGTTACGTTTAACAATTTCTCCTATTATTAAATCCTTAGGATGATCTTTTTGAACCTTGACGGGAGGATATCACTGTAACTAAAAGAGATTTCCCGAGGATGTTTGGACACGGTAATCATAACTATCACATACATTATCAGTATCA